GCAACAGTGTTTTAATTATAGAAGCCAAACAAACCAGATACCTGCTTTCAGCAGCCGAAGCCTCAGAGCTGGAGCCAAGCCTCAGAGCTAAAGCTGGCTCTCAGTTCCAATGACAGCCATAGAGGTAAATAAATCCCAGAATTAAAAAAGAAAAAGAATAAAAGGAGAGGTTGGGAGCTTCAGTCACCTGCCAGCCTGAAAATGGCCCTCAGCCCCTCACCCAGACTGGCCAGGCAGTCCAGTGAGGACCCCCACCCTGAAGGGGATGTGACCAGCTACAAACAGCCATCATCCCCTCATCCAGGCTGGCCAGGCACCCAAGCGGGACCCCCATCTTGAACCAGGACACCCTTCAGGGCAAACCAGCCAGCCCCCACCCGTGCACCAGGCCTCTATCCTATATAGTAAAAGGGTAATATGCCTCCCAGCACCAGGATCAGCGGGGCTGTGAGGCCTCCGGAACCCAGGATCAGAGGAGCCACGAGGCCTCCTGGCACTGGGATCAGCTGAGCCTTGAGGCCTCCTGGCCCCTGGAGCAGCATAACAGGGGCAGCGCCCAAACCCCCTGATCGCCCTGTGGCTCTGTGTGTGACAGGGGGCGGGGCCACAACCTCCCTATCTGCCCTGCTCTGTTCATGACAGGGGAAGGCGCCCCAACCCCCTGATCCGCCCTGCTCTGTGTGTGACAGGGGGCAGTGCCCCAACTCCCCTATTGGCTCTACTCTGTGCGTGACAGGGGGGAGCTCCCCAACCCCCTGATCGGCTGGCTCTGTGTGTGACAGGGTATGGAGCCCCAACCCCCCTGATGGGCCCTGCTCTGTGCATGACAGGGGGCTGTGCCCCAACTCCCCAATCAGCCCTGCTCTGAGCCCGACCAGGGGCTGCACCTAGGGATTGGGTCTGCCCTCTGCCACCCGGGAGCAGGCCTAAGCCAGCAGGTCGTTACCCCCCGAGGGGTCCCAGACTGTGAGAGGGCACAAGTGGGGCTGAGGGACACCCCCCACCGCCAGTGCACAAATTTTTGTGCACCAGACCTCTAGTTAGTTAATAACATGTATTAATTTTAAATCCCCATAAATAACAGACAAATACCTTGTGATTCAGTAATTCTGCTCTGAATATATATGCAGCAAAAATACAAATATAGACTTTTTAACCAAAAATCCAATTACATGTAAAAGAATATTTGCTCTTTTAAATTAAACAAAAGCAAATATATTAGGATTTTTAAGAAATAATAGCTGCTACCGGGTGAAGGGTACAGTGGGCCTCTCTGTACTATCTTTGCAATTTCTTATTAATCTGTTTCAAAATAAAAATTTTAAAAATGTAACAGTGTTTGACATAAATATTAACTAGTAACTTTAAATAACATTTCTCTGAAACTTAAAATTCATTTGGCAACTGTGTGAAAGACAATGAATCATTGATAATATCTATCCTCAATGTAAATTTATAGTTTTAAAAAACATTCCTTTAAATGAATCATTCAAATTGCTTATATTTATTGAAATATAAATATCAAAGAGGTAAATGCTGAATTATTATTCAATAGGAATAAGTATATTCTTTTCCTGGTTCCTAGAACTCAGTGAACCCAGAAGTTCAGAGATTAGGAAGCTTTAATGTGACAACTGGAATGAAAATAAATCAAGAAAAGTGTAACATTTCAAAGACAAATGAGGATTGCAAAACAAAGAGGGTAGAAATCAATTGCTATTTTGCTTTTCCTTGGAAGTGCTTCATCTCAACTCCCAGAAAGATGGTCTAGAGAAGGCATTGGGGAGGAAAAGGGAGTGAACTTCTACGGGGTGGCACAAGGCAGAGCGAAGGCTGGATCACCTGGCATGGCAGTCAGCAACAACAACCACACAGTAAACACCCTCTCCTCCATGCTCTGTGCCCCCTGTCTCTTTACTCATGTCTCCTTCTTGTCCAGCTCTCCCCATCTGCCCATGTAATCTATCCATTAGTTATGGAAATGAAAATGTTAAAAGTATATGATATAGTCTATATAAAAAGATATCATTGCAACAATGCTCATCTTAGAAGTCTTAGAGATTTCCCCAGGATGTTATGGCCAAAAAAGAGCTCTTGATACTCCACAAACCAGCTGCTCCTCAGTTTAGTAAATGGTACTATTATCCACCTAGTTGCTATCTTTGATCTCTCTCTGCCATACTATTTAATCCATCAATAAGTCCTCTTGCTTTTATATTCAAATTGCATCTCAAACCTGTCAGCATTTCTCCATCTTCACTGATACTTACTTGGTCCAAACATCATTATCTCTCACCTGACTACAACAGCCAGGGTGATCATTTAAAAAATAAATCAAATTATGTCACTGCTCTGCTTAAAATCTTCCAATGACTTCCCACTGTAACTAGCATAAAGTACTGATTGCTTATGGTAGCTCCTCGGGGTTGCCACACCCTGGCCCATCTCAACCGTTTAGGTGACACTCACTCTCCTCCAGCTGCCCATGCCTTTTTTTTTTTTTTGATCCTCAAACATGCCAGGTTCAGTTGTCCTAGGGTCTTATTCTCTGCCTGAAAAGCTCTGTCCCCAGAGCTGTGCATTGCTTCAAGTCACAGCTCAAATATCATCACTATCTAACTGAGGCCTCTTCTGAGCTTCCCAATTAAGTCAACCTCCTCAGGGCGAAGTAATTATTGTATTCATTTATTTATTGTCTATTGTTTTGCGCTCTCCCAATCCCATGTAAGCTCCAGGTGAGGAGAGATTACTGGTATTTGGGGGCTGACGCACAGTAGACTTTTTAAAAGAATGTGTTGATGAGAATGTTTTGCCCATTTTTCCCCCCTTATCTTTCATCAGGATGACTAAAATGTAAGGGGGTGGGGGGAAGGAGGAGGAGGAAGAGAAGGAGAGCGGGGGAAGAGATCAAGATATAACAACCTCCAGGGAAATAGAACAGTTCTTCCAGATTCAATATTCAGCATGAAATGAAAGAGGAAAATGAGTGTACTGACAAATGAGCTCTACACAAATCATGTGTAGGCAGAGTTCAATGGAGCTATCTATTGATTTTGGTGAGTATAACTATTATGCAAATACTTTGTTTGCTTTTATTATAGTGAGCCTTATTTTCCACTGTGGATTCCGGGTGCAGTAATAACTGTGTTTGAAAAGGCATTAACATCTTATACTTGATCAAGAAAAAAATGAAATCAGAACATACTCACTCTGTAACTACTGCCACACTGTCCAATTTCTCCCAGTTGCCATAAGTCTCTTTCCATTTGAGGCATCAAAACTTCTTTTTATTTTAAAAGAGAAGAGGTGGAGATTTCAATAACCATCCATTGAACATTGCATATAAAATAGTGAATATACTTTTCATATATTTGTGACTAAGACACCAAGACTAGGGGTTTTTTCATTTTTGTGCTTAATGTATATTTGTTTTTTATGAGTCACATATATTAAAAGTTATTCTTTATAAGACTCCACTCAAAGTGATGAGTCAAAACTTTTCCTTTGTTTTTTGAGAAGAGAGGTTTCTGTTTACCTAAGATGTGTCCTTTTGTCTGTAGATAAACAATTGGCTGACTTAATAGAATCTTTGTTATCCCATTAGCCAAGGCAAATAAGAGAATAATAAATCTACCTAAAATCATTGTCTGGGATTAGCAAGAAAGAAATTAGTTACTATGCTTAAATTATTAGCTGATTTTATTTATGATTCCACATGGCCATAGCCCAGCTGTTGGAGAACTCTGATTAGGTTGTTGTTAAGCTGAAAAGGCTGCTAGAATTCTATCTGATGACAAAACAAATTCAATTAAAAATGACTTGACGAGTAACTATAGTGAGAAAGGAAAGCAGTCATCTTCTGTTTGTCTGAAATAACTATTTGTTTGGAACACCACTATATCTTTCTCCAACCAGCCTCAGCCTTGGGCTAACTTATGACTATTGCATCTAGTAAGAATCTACCTGTTGCCTCTAGAATTCCAGGTGTCCTGGCAGTGTATTTTATTTCTATATTTGCTGCCTGAGAAAAGGGAAGATGCTTCCGGGGTATGAAGCAATAACAGAAAACCATGAAGGGCAGAATGTTGTAATGAAAAAGATCCCAAACTGAGAATCAGGAACCTTGTTTCTAGTCCTATATAACTTCTCCGGGCCTCAAATTCCAGAATGTAAGATAAACATAGAGCTCTTTGGGGTTCCATTAAATTCTAAAACAGTGAGTTACTGTAGTAGAGCTTTCCTTAAGCAATGATTAAGGTTATATCTACACTGAGCTATCAGGAGAGGAATGAAGACATTATATGATTAAAGAAAATATAATTTAGAAAATCTTCCCTAAAGAAAATGTTCACTGTTATTTGCCAAGGACAATTTCAACACATAGGGCAGTGACTATCTTAAATTTCCTAAGTGAGCTGTGTCCAGTTCAACTCAACAGGTATTTATTACGATTCTCATTTGTAGAAAGTATTAGCTTGACCTCAGTCAACACCAACATTCCTTGGCACTGTGGAGTTGTACCTGGTGGATTTTTTTCACAAGTAAGAACAGGTTTCCCACCTGCTTTAGCAAAACACACTGAGCTCTTTGGGGGAAGGGAAGGGAGCATTGTTGGTAACCTAAACTTTCCAAATAGTAATCATTGAGTCAAGACCTTTACATTCATCAAATCCTCGTTACCCGTAAATGCTTCCTTGTGAGGAAAGCCTTGGAGCAGCAGAGCTAGTCCATGTGGAGAGAGACTCTGCACCACAGTTCAATCAACTGAAAGAAAAATAATGTGGAGAAAAAGGATCTATTCAGAGGCTGCAGCCAGTGACAAAAAGGAGGCTTTGAAACAGAGTCCAGAGAACATGTTCACATCTGAAATCTGGGGCAACACAGAGAGCTCCTGGCAATTCAGTGAGTGGGAAAAGTAGCATGATGTTTGCAAATGCCCATGCTTGGATTTACACTCAGAAATTTAAAAACTCTTCCTTTTCTTTTTTGATTCCACCCAGGTTTGTACCTGCTATCTACCTTGGTTTGCTTTCTACCTCTCCCTGGCCAGTCCCACAGCACTGTCACCAGATACTTAAGTGGTAATGAGAGCCCAACTCCTTGTAATTACAAGCTCATTACTGAACAGAATGACTGAAGGGCCTTTGAACGTGCTGTGCTCTGCTTGGAATGTTCTTTACCCAATATATGCCTGGCTCACTCCTTCACTTCCTTCAAGTCTCAGTTCAAATGTGGTGTTATCCAATTTGTAATATCTTAACCAATAAAGGGAAAAAATAAAAATAAAAGCAAAAAAATAAAAATAAAAAATAAAATGTCATTCCCTTATTGATCACTATCCACCCGTATGCTATGTTGTTTCAGAGTCCTGATAACCACTTGTCATATATATTATCTAAATATATTCATGTGCTATGTTTTGCTTATGTTGATGACTAGATATAAGTTCCAAAAGGATAGGAACTTCCATTTTCCCATATCCAAACACCGATGTAGTAGGTGCCTACCAGACATTTGTTGAATTAATTAATTAAATGCACCCAATACATTTGATAATGCTTTAGATCAAAACACTGGGCAGGCTGAGGAAGAAACTGTCAAAGTCATTTTCTACTTCCTGGTTTTTTATTTTTTTCTTCTACCTCTTTCAAAGGCTTTATACATGGCTTCCTCTCAAGAGAGGAATAGATCATGGACAATATGGAAGCTTATTTGTTTCTTATTTTCTGGATATGACCACAAAGCTGTAATTTTTCCTACAAGGAACATTTATGTTTAAAACATACAGTTAGTTGTTCTGATTACAGAGCCATGACTAATGTTTAAGAATAGGACATTGATAGGGTTTTTAGCTGATATATATACATATTCTCCCCGCCCCCCCATCTTTTTCCACCTCTGTTTGGTTGATCTGGTTTAACTGTTCAGGTTCAGAAAATTTGTTTCAACTTTTAAAATACTGATAAAATTTATCAATTATTTAGACACATTTTTCTTTCTTTTTTTTTTTAAGTAGATCTTTATTGTTCAGATTATTACATTTGTTCCTCTTTTCTCCCCCCCATAACTCCCCTCCTCCCAGTTCCCGCCCCACCCTCCGCCCTCACTCCCCACCCACTGTCCTCATCCATAGGTGCACGATTTTTGTCCAGTCTCTTCCCGCATCTCCCACACCCCTTTCCCCCCCCAAGAATAGTCAGTCTATTCCCTTTCTATGTCCCTGATTCTATTATAATCACCAGTTCATTCTGTTCATCAGATTATTTATTCACTTGATTCTTAGATTCACTTGTTGATAGATGCATATTTGTTGTTCATAATTTGTATCTTTACCTTTTTCTTCCTCTTCCTCTTCTTAAAGGATACCTTTCAGCATTTCATATAATCCTGGTTTGGTGGTGATGAACTCCTTTAGCTTTTTCTTATCCGTGAAGCTCTTTATCTGACCTTCTATTCTGAATGATAGCTTTGCTGGATAAAGTAATCTTGGTTGTAGGTTCTTGGTATTCATCACTTTGAATATTTCTTGCCACTCCCTTCTGGCCTGCAAAGTTTCTGTTGAGAAATCAGCTGACAGTCGTATGGGTATTCCCTTGTAGGTAACCGAGTTTCTTTCTCTTGCTGTTTTTAAGATTCTCTCTTTATCTTTTGCTCTTGGCATTTTAATTATGATGTGTCTTGGTGTGGTCCTCTTTGGATTCCTTTTGTTTGGGGTTCTCTGCGCTTCTTGGACCTGTAAGTCCATTTCTTTCACCAGGTGGGGGAAGTTTTCTGTCATTATTTCTTCAAATAGGTTTTCAATATCTTGCTCTCTCTCATCTTCTGGCACCCCTATAATTCTGATGTTGGTACGCTTGAAGCTGTCCCAGAGGCTCCTTACACTATCCTCGCATTTTTGGATTCTTTTTTCATTTTGCTTTTCCGGTTGGGTGTTTTTTGCTTCCTCGCATTTCAAATCATTGACTTGATTCTTGCGCTCCTCTGGTCTGCTGTCGGGAGTCTGTATAATATTCGTTATTTCAGTCCATGCATGCTTAATTTCTAGTTGGTTCCCCAATATAACATCGAGGGTCTCATTAGTTTTCTTGTAGATCTCATTAAGTTTATCGGCGGCTTCTAAACAGTTCTTGAGAGACCTTAAAAGTGTGGTTCTGAACTCTATATCTTCCATTGACAATTTTGTCCTGTTTCTTTGTCTCCGCATTTTGTTATGCTTCCTTGGTGCACCCCCTAGTGGTCTTTGTTCGCAGTCTTATAGTTAAACCTTGATTGTTGTAGCTAATACCAGGGAGGGTTTGACCTCCAGGCCAAGTGGCTATGAGAATCAGCTGTGTCTGCAGTGAGAGAACTTCTGTCCTCTAGGGAGGTGCTAATCTAGCCTTTGCCTGAGGCTATCCGGCAAATGCCTCTGTGCAGGGCTTGGGTGGGGCGGGTCTCACAGGATCAACAGGGTGGGCCGGAGAGAGCAGTTATGGCGGCTCTCAGTCCTGTCCCCAGGGGCTCTGCCTCTCTGAGTCCCAGCACCCGCTGCAAAGCTCGGAGAGAAAGCTGCACTCGCTCTGACCGAAGCCAGACAGTCCCGCTTTTCCCGTTTGAGTCTGGGTCCCTAAAGACTCGCCTGTATCTGGAGCTCAGAGTCTGCGACTCCCTCCCGATTGAAAACGCCAACCGTGCCCTCCGCCGCCAGCCCGCTCCGCACACTCCGCACCTCAGAATCTGACTTCAGCACTGCGCCTCCTCTGAGTGTCCGTATGCGTTTCTCTTTCCTCCTAGTTGTAGGACTTCCACTCAGCCAGCGTTCCTGTGGTTCTGGGTGATGTCCCTTCCGTCTTTTAGTTTCACTTTTGAAGTAGTCGTTCAAGGCAGCAAACTCCAGCGTTGACATATGCCGCCATCTTGGTTCTCTCCTAGACACATTTTTCTTCCCCAATCTTTGCTGGAGGCCACAGAGTAATGAAATACCACCTCACACCTGTTAGAATTCCTATTATTAAAAAGACAAAAGGTAACAACAAGAACGTGGAGAAAAGGGAACCCTTTTGCACTATTGGTGGGCATATTAACTGTGGAGCCACTATGAAAAACAGTAAGGAGGTTCCTCAAAAAACTAAAAATAGGACTATCATATGATCCAGAAATTCCATTTCTGGGTATTTATCTGAAGAAAATAAAAACAATAACTTGAAATGACAGATGTACCCCATGTTCTTTGCAGCACTATTTACAATAATCAAGATTCAAAAGCAACCTAAGTGTCCATCTCTGCATGAATGGATAAAGAAAAGGTCAGACATATACACACTGAAATATAACTCAGCCATAAGAAGAAGAAAGTCTTGCCATTTGCAATAGCAGATGGACCTTTAGGGCATTATGCTAAGTGAAATAAGTCAGACAGAGAAAGATGAATACCATATGATCTAACTTAGGTTAAAATTAAAAAAAAAACACCCAAGAGACAATTAAAAAACACACAAAAAAAATAACAAGATTATGGATGTAGAGAACAGATTGGTGGTTACTACATGGGGTGGGTGACATGGGAGAAAGGGATTAAAAAGTACAAACTCTTAGCTGTAAAAAATAGGTAAGTCATGGGGTTGTAATGTACAATATGGGGACTATAATTAATACTGTATTGTATATTTTAAAGCTGTTAAGAGAGTAGATCTTATAAGTTTTCATGACAAAAAAATAATTCTGTAACTCTGTATGTTGATGGATGTTAACTAGATTTATTGTGGTGATCACTGCCTATACAAATATCAAATCATTATGGGATACACCTGAAACTGATACCATGTTATATGTCATTGATATCTAATTTTTTTTAAAAAGAAATAGGCCTTGAACCCATACATCCTTATTAGTTGTTGGAATAATATATACTTCCATAATGCTTGGCAAATACCCACTGCCATTGTTTCTCTAACTGCTTCCCAGTCATCCCAGCTGCCAGGGTGTTGAGATACCCTGGCTCCAGAAATTAAAGGGTTAATGATGCACTCCTGGCTTTACATCTCCACTTGGCCAGCATCTGTACCAGTTGTTAAATATTTTTTATATCAACCTGTTCATGTTGTGAACTTATTTTTAAAAAGTGTACTGAGAGTCCAGAGGATGAGGTAATTAATTCTAACCCCAGAGAGTTAAGTCTAGAAAGCAGTTGAAGTGAGATTTAAGTCTGTAAGTGATCAAAAGAAATGTGTCTTCTATTTAGTCCTTTTTTCCTTTGATGTTTCCAATTTCTTCTATATTAGAAAATAAAGTTGTTAGTTAACTGTAAAAAAAAAAAAAAGATCCAGGAGAAATAAAGATAAAGGAAAATTTCAAAAGAAGTTAATCTTTTTCCTTTCAAAATTATATCTACCCTACAGGGTTAGGGTTAGGGTTAGGGTTAGGGTTAGATGCTTATTAAAATTGGCTGTTATTAAGACAGGCCCAGTAGTTCCTCAGAAACTTGGCCTCAGACACGTCACTTCCTCCTTCCAGGAACCTGCTCTTCTGTGTTGACAGTTTTCTCAATAGCTCCTTGTCCTACCTGGGAAAGCAGTGAGGAAGATTGCCTCAGTAGATGAAAATACTAGAGGAAGGTGGCAGCTCTTCTGAACCTGACTCAGAGGTTCTGAAAAAAATAGGGTGGGTATCCTATTCCAGGACCTTCTGGTCTCACAAGTATTAAAACCATTTAATGAAATGCAAATTAGAATTCCCCTGAATAAAGTAGGACTTGATGCTAACAAGGAAGAGTCTTCTTTTTGTCATTCTGTTACTTACCAATACAGGATCAGGGTAGGAAGTATCTTCAAGTGATAGTACAACATGGTCACAGCTGAGGTTTGTGAACCCTAACTATATAGTGCCTGGGCTAAAAATTTTATATATATTCTCAAATATGATGTTCACAGTAACCTAATGTAGGTACTATTTCTATGCCAATGTTTTGGACAAGAAAATAGATCCTTACAGAGGTCAAGGAACCAGCCTGAGGTCACACCAGGTAAGTGTGCTGGTGTGTTGATCTGATTCAGAAAGTCCAATTCCAGAGCCAGTGCTTTTCATAACTCTGAAGCACTGCCTGCCTGAGCCAAACCTACTGCCTTATTGAAATAATTTATTCTGAGTTGCCAATAAGAAATTGTACACAATAGGTAGCTGCAAGTTTTAAATGACCAGAAAAATGATCAAAATGTTATCTTTTAGACCAGGACACACTGCCATGGTTTTTGTTTTTGTTTGTTTGTTTTTGGTTTTTTTTGCTCTAATGGTCTTTTTTTAAAAATTTAAATTCTTTATTGTTTAAAGTATTACATAAGTATTCCTTTTGC